TGCCACGTGGCCATGTCTGCCCTGTCTGCCACGTGGCCATGTCTGCCCTGTCTGCCACGTGGCCACGTCTACGCTGTCTGAGTGCACGTATGGCCATCGGAATGCCAGCACTCCTCCAAGAAGGCAGAATTAAAGGGCAGAAAAGGAAAGGCACACGTTAAAGCCGATAGCTTCCATCTCCACACCTGAATCCTGCCATCAACTCTGGAAACACCAAGCCCATAGAAACCACTGTACGCTGTATCATTGCCACATATTCTAGAATCGCTGTCCACTGTGTCATGTCTGCATTTCCTGAAGGCTGTGTCTTGCGTGTCCAGTGGGGCCAGCTGTGTGTGTGCGCACTTTGGGCTGACATCCTTACAGCGTGTTTTGTAAGTCTACAACTTAGTTAGATGTCTGCAATTATTTAGGTAATGCGCCTTGCTTCTGAAGGCATAGGTAAGGGAAAGGACTTTTGTAGAATAGAAGTCACTGTAGTCCAGAAATAAAAAGTCCAGTTTCATTGATATCTTTGTTAGCACCAAACACTGCGTTATTTTAAGTTGCCATAGGTACGCAAGGTTTTCTCTTCTCAAGGGAGATAATTCCTGCATTCTGAATATTAAGCTCCATGGTCTCCAGTATGGCAGTCCATCTGAATTCTGTCCTGTCTGCGTTGCTTAGGTGATGGTAGGTCTGACCGCAGCTGGACAGTCCTACGATCCGCAGATCGCGAGTAAGAAGGGGCTGTGTAGATGCTGCCCGTGCTTTACTCAGTGATGAATGTAAAGTGCAATGTTTTAGAATTGTTCCTTTGTGAAATTTTTATCCTTGTTCCTGTTGCCAACCAAGACAAGCCATCACCTAGCTATATCCACTAATCTCTAAAGATTTGTTTCTCTCAGGAAGAGTACAGAAATATGAACAAAAATTTGGGGGGAAAGGTGGAATAAGGATGGTGAAACCACTTTTTGAACAATTAATCTGGGGTTCCACAACAAGACTATGTCTTGGGAAGGAAAGTAAAAGGGGAGGAAGGATGGAAAGGAGGGAGAGAGGGAAGAAGGGGGAGGGAGGGGAGAAGGGGGGAGGAGGAAGGAAGGAAGGATCTGCAGGGAAGTTAGAAAGCCACGCATTTTGTGGCTGATGTTGTTTGGTGTTACACAGCACTCAACGATGCCTTCTCCAGCTGAGTTTTTCTGCGGCAGCATCGAAGTGAAAGAGAAACGTACCATTACAAGACTGTCAGAGATTTCAATGGCTTGATTTCCTTATTTTTCAAGCAGAACATATAATAGCTCATTAGGCTATAACATATCATATTAAAAGTTTCGTTATGTTCAACATATGCCTGCCTGCCTGCCTTCCTTCCTTCCTTCCTTCCTTCCTTCCTCTTGCTTTCCTTCTTTCTTCCTTTCTCTGTCTCTTTCTTTCTCTATACTTCTCTCCCTTCCATTCTTCCTTTCTTCCTTTCTCCTTCCTTCTCTCTTTCCTCTCTTGCTTCTTTTCTTTGTCTCTTTTGTTCTTTCTCTAAATTCTCTCCCTTCCATCCTTCCTTCTTTCCTTCCTTCCTTCATTCCCCCTTCCTTCCTCTTCATTCTTTCTTCCTTTATCTATCTCTTTCTCTGTATTTCTATATTCCATTTCTATATTTCTCTTCCTCCCTCCCTCCCCCATCTCTTTCTTTCTTCTCCTTTCTCTGTCTCTTTCTTTCTCTATTTCTTTCCCTCCCTTCCTCCCTCCCTTAAGGTCCTTCCTTCCACCCATCCTTCTGGAATTACAGGTGCATGCTGTGACAATTGACTGATAATTAGTTGATTTGATCAGTTACATTTTTACAAATTGGGTTTCCTTCATTCTTAAGCTTATAAAAGTAACCAAAGTCAAATGTTATAATGAAACATTTCACCTTGTCTTTCAATCCGTTTACCATGTTTATCAAGCATTCTATACATGTACTCATGGAAAGGGAAAAGGTCAAGTCCATGTTGATTACATTAAAATGTCACTGTTGGGAGAAAGTAGGGAAAGCAATGGAAGGGTGACAACCAAAAACAGGAGAAGGAAATGTGCTCGTTACGTGACTTGTGAGGTGGTTATCCTGCTTTTTAACTCCCAAATAACAATGACATTATTTTTAAAAATAAAAAAATGTCACTTTTAGATTCGATTAAAAAAAATAAATGTGGCTTTATAGAATTATCTGACTGCTAGGATGTAGGAATCCATTGATAAAGTCAAGTGTTATCAGTCAAAATGGGTACATCGTACATTGGTTGAATTCTGCTTCTAGAATATTTTGGACTAACCACCCCCCTCACCTTCTCCCATGCGCTCTCCTCCCACTCCCCCCTGCTCCCTCCCTTCCGCCCCTCCCTCCCTCCACCCTGTGGCCTCCTCCTGTTCCCTCAGTTACAGGATTCCTGCCTTGGGGACCTCCATTATACCTGTTGTTTAACTTGAGCTTTCAGACGGCACCGCAGAAAGCTCTGAGACCTGGCTCTTATGGTTCTATAATACAATTTTGGCAAGGTATTTCATCTCTCTATGCCTTGGACCCTTTCCACTTATTCATTCTCTGGTTCATTGCTTTTATTGTGTCTCTATAAAAAACTGTATCGAGTTCTTTGTTGGTCTCACAAGTTGAATAGCAGTCGGTGGCTAACAATCACCGTAGGTTATGCCAGCCCAGCAATGTGAAGGTAAAATGGAAAATGGGAATAAAGAAGCACTGAAACAATTCAAGCTCACGCAAAATGTTAAAAGCCAGGTGACTTTCACAAGGGTGTTGTAACGGAATAGATCACAGTGACCAGGCCATCAGGCAGGGTGTCACAGGGCACGCCAGACCACCTGGAAAGTTCTGTCTTTACCCTGTCTGCTGCTACAGAGATCCAGGCTCATCACAGGCTGCTTGCAGGATGGCGTTGCCTGCCAGGTAATGAGCCGTGATTTTCTCCCTCCGTTCTTACGGCTCATGGTTCACACCCAGGTCCCCCTCGCTCCTCACCAGCCAGCCTCCACACGGGGTGAGTGACTTGCAGAAGGAGGTGCAGGAGAGAAGAGACGCTCAGTTGCAGTCCGTGTAGACGTGTGCAGCTAGGTGTGGTATTTGGATGACTGCTTCTGTTTCCTTGCCAGGAACTGGCGGTGCTCGCCACGTGAGAGTCACACCACGTGAGTCACACCGTGCTGTGGTGGTGCGGTGCGTGTGCAGCACTGGGTGGGTGGAGAGAGCATTATCCCAGGAGCCTGGCGCTTCGGCCCTGGGGAGAAGCGGGCGGTCACCAGACGCACTGACCCAAACCAAGAATAACCAATGCGCGGCCATGGGGTTTATCTTAGGAAACTAAGATGTGTTACGGAACGAAAGGACTCTTGTTTTTTTCTGTTGGGGACATTACTCTCCCAGTTGATAAGCCATAAATCTACTGGGCTAGGTTTAGTTTATCCTGTGATTTCCAAATGAGCATTTGTAGATGCTGACAGATTATGGTAAAAGAAGATGTCTGGTGTGTGTTCTCCGTGAGCAAGAGTGTGGCTGGGCGTGTGGGACCCGGCGTCTGGCAGAGGCGGTGACTGGGTACACAGACATAACGTTGCATAAGGAAGCACAGGAAATTGTACACCAGACACAATTAGTTTTAAGGCTTCTAGACTTAGGAAGCTGTGTGTGTGTGGTGTCAGATCATTTCAGCTTTGGCAGCCAAGACCAGGTATTGGGTAGGGAAAAAAAAGTGGAAAAAAAAAACTGGATGTTCAATTTTCCAGAGATTTCCTGTGTTTATTATTGTAAGACTGTGATTTATGAAAACCGTTTTACTTCTTCAAGCAGACCAAGATTTCCTCTGTGCTACTGAGGCTAATACATATGGGTTTGAGCAGAGTCTGAGAATGAGCCACAGTACCCAGACTGCAGGGCTGGTGCTGGCCCTGCATCCCGGGCCGTCAGGAAGAACTCTAGTCTCATTCCCGCCCCCTGCCCCCACCGCGGAACTTATGAATACTGCCTTTAAGAGGAATTACTGCTCAAATGGAGTTTTGAGTGATAGAGTCTGGAACTGCATTATTTGCATATTTACACTGATTGAGGCATGTGTGGAAGATGTGGCGTGTCCCGTATCTGTCTGTCCCACTGTATTCCGCACACCAGAAGCGATCACTTCTGCCGTGGCCAGTTCATCCAGCCAGAGAGGTCTGTGGACAAATCTCTCCTGCCGTGTCCCCTTGTCCGCAGACGTGTGAGAAGCGTGGTGGAGGATGTCTCATGGCTGGCAGGAGCGGAGGCTGCTCCAGAAACTTAGAAGTTATTTAACGAGCACATGATCCATGTAGCTATTTCCCGACAAATATTTTTTACTTTTATAAATGCTGGGGTTTGAATGCAGGATTACGGGTTTGAACTGCATCGATTTGGGAGGTATTGGCAGCATGGTTACATGTCTGTGCTGAGGCTCTATCCAGCTGATAGTCATTTCTTTGCTGATGAGAGCCTGTCATCCACGGAATACCTATGCTAATCCAATCGCACACTGATCATGGTCTCCGTGAGACTGACTGATGGAGACACTCAGTATTCTCTAAACTAGGGTGAAATTTCACCCACTGGAAATTACTGAGGCACAGATTTCCGTGGAGAAGGAAGAACGGCGCATTGCCGACTGCCTCTCCCCGGTCGGCACGGACCATGAAACGATGGGAAGAGAATAAACAGTGGTTGTGAAAAGAGCAGGATCGCTGACGTTCTGTGGAGAGTGAATTAAGCGCATCTCTAGTGACTGCGCGGCCGTGGCGCTGAGGCCGACAGCGCTGTCGCTGCAGTGGTGAATTCATGGCGACGTGTGCCCTCGGGGGGGGACTCCCCGCAGTGGTGAATTCATGGCCAGCGTGTGCCCTCGGGGCGGGGGACTCCCCGCGTGTCTCCGCGGCGGCAGCTCTGGCCCTCGGTGGGGACTCCCCGCGTGTCCCCGCGGGGCTGGCTCAGGTCTGTGCTCACCTCTGACGCTTCTGTCTCACAGATGGCCGACCACACCGAGGTCATGAAAGGCATTCGTCGGCTCCCCGGCGTGCGCTACCCCGTGCTTACCCCGAATCTCCAGGGTTTTCACCGGGCTGTAAGTGCGCTACTACTTTCCCTCAATTTTATCTATTTGCTGTTGTTTTGAGGATGGTTACGAGGCCCCGTCCCGTTCCACATCTCAGCTGCCATCCTGTAAGAAGTCCCCGCTAATCCGGGAGCTGTAAACCAAAGCGGCCCATTCCCCTTCTCCCAGTTCAGCCTCCCAAGAACCAAGCGAAAACTCTACCTCTCCTTCTTAAGGGCTCTGTGTTTCCTCGGTGGGAAGGAGGTTTGAACTCAGCCCCTCATCTTTCTGCCCATGCTGGTCTCAGACTCCAATCCTCCTTCTCGACCTCCGGTTGTAGCTTCACCTGGCTTGTGGGTGAGGGTGGGTGCTGGTCACTTCTGCCTGGATAGCCTTGGCACAGGATCCTCCTGACCTCAGCCTCCCAAGTCCCTGGAATCACAGGCCTGAGCTGCACAGCTCAAGGGCAGACTTAACCTGGGGCCTTGACCTTGTTCCTCACGGATTCTGATTTCCATTGTAAGTCAGACGCCAGCGTGGATGAACACGGCCTCAAAGCCGCTGTTCATCGCGCTGCTGTCGTCTACGCCCCTGAAGGCTTTGGATTCTGTGTTTCAGGTTGCTGCCGGGGCCACAGAGGTCTCCGTGTTTGGTGCTGCTTCGGAGACTTTTAGCCAGAAGAACATCAACTGCTCCATTGAGGAAAGCCTGGGGAGGTTTGAGGAGGTGGTGAGGGCAGCACAGAGGCTGAGCATCCCTGTGCGAGGGTAGGATGCGCGCGCACCGTGCATGGGGGGCAGGACG